CAAAGCAGTAACCAAGTTTATAACATTGTTGTAATTGTTTATAATGAATTATGTTTATATATCATATATTTTTCATTTCATGGTTGCATTGTCGTTACAAAATTTTTCACAAGTATGCATTCAAGTTAGCTTCATCTGCATCTGCAGAAGTTTCCCCTTTTTTGGTTGTACATGTTTGTAGAATTGAACAACTCAAGCATTTCTGGTGAAACTCTGAGATCTCGGCAACATTTTTGCCCAAACTTGAAATTAACTCGAATTCTGATTACAGCATCCAGCATATCAAGACGCATTCTGCTTCTTAGCTTTGTTTTTACATTAGTGACGTGTGAAAACACTCTCTCGCATATGGCATTGCTCACTGGGGTCGCAAGGGCTGTTAAAGCATAAAGAGCCAATCTTTTGAATGGTTGCTCTCCTGTACTAGATGTGTACTTCAAAATTCCACACCAAAATTCAGCTGAATCTCTTGGGACAAATCCATTAAAAACGCTTTCGCCTGCCCAGTCGACATGAAGGATCCTGCGATATTCTTCTTCAACTGATGATATATCAGCCATGACGTGAAGCATGGGTAAAGAATAAAACGGCACACGGTCAACCTGAGAGAGAACTGTCGCTGGGGACAGGTAGCTGAGGCCTTTGAAAATAGTTTCATTCCCAGGAAGTCTATTTTCAACCTGTGTAAGCGCTTCAACGAGAAAACTCTGGCATCGGTTATACACTTCCTCTACCTTCACTTTCGCTTCAGCAGAATTTCCGTGATGATGAATATACTTTTGTGATTCCATGACAAATTTCACACCAAAATCAACACGAGAGTTTGGCAGAACTTCATCGCCTGAGCCATATATTCTGTAGCGTAGAGTGCTGTGGAGCAGGAAGAGCTGTTTGACCATGTCTTCAGGATCTGCATTTGTGGCTTGAAATGACGCATTAACTCGTTCAAATTCTGTCACGATTGGAGAGAGAAAATGAAAGTAAAGGTGGTTGATGTCATCATTCAACATGCTCAGCAACATTCTTGCTTTGTAGCGAACATCTGATTTACAATTGGGCTCTTCTACCAAAAAAAAGCTTTCAGTTCCTCCCAATTGACAAGAATGTTGAAAAGCACCTTCCCTCTGACAAGCCATCGAGTTGCAGACATTTTCTGGAATGGCATTGGTTTACCTGCGTGCTCATTATTTGGATTCATGACGTCTATGAGCGTTCCGCTATTTAGCGTGCGACATTCGTTTAGACATTCAAATAGACATTCGAATAGACATTCGGACTTTGATTGCTTCTTACAAAAAAACTATAAAATATATTAAAAAGATATTTCATAGAGAGAAACTTGGCTGGATTCTCTGTTGATTCATGTATCTTGTTCATAATAAGATGCGCTATACTTCCAAAGGTGAGCAAAAAAGTCGAAAATTTTTTGACACGGCCTAAATTTCATTGCAAATAGACATTCGGACTTTAATCGATTCGCATAAAAAAAGTAAAGCAAGTAGCCAAAAGTCCTTTGAATGACAGAAACCTTGCTGGATTTTCCGTTGGTTTTGATAGTTGTTTCTAGATGATACGCGAAATTATCGCTAGAATAAGGAAAAAACCTCCAAATTTTTTGACACGATCCAAGTTTGAAATGGCGACCGACCCTCGCGATGTCGTAGCAGGCCCTCATTTCAAGCGACCTACACCGAAATACTTGAAGTGAAACATCTAAATCGACTTAAAAGTACAAAAAACCTACCCTTATAGCAAAGTATCTCTAATTTAGATCAAATAACAGCAAAAATCGCCAGTTGTAGGAAACGACAACAAACTCAGAGGAAACCCCTCAAGTAGAAACTTACCTAAGTCGGTGTCCCGCAATAACTTTAGAAAAACTGTTTGGAATCGGCTGAAACTTTCTAAATCAACTAGAATTGATGAGATAGAGATGTTTTTTTGGGTCTCGTAAAGTCTGAAGCGGTTTTGATGAATTTTTTAGGCAACGCTTTTTCGAGCTCCATACTGAAGCCTTATAACTCAGATCTGATGTGCCGGTGTCCCGCAATAACTTTAGAAAAACTGTCTGGAATCGGCTGAAACTTTCTAAATCAACTAGAATTGATGAGATAGAGATGTTTTTTTGGGTCTCGTAAAGTCTGAAGCGGTTTTGATGAATTTTTTAGGCAACGCTTTTTCGAGCTCCATACTGAAGCCTTATAACTCAGATCTGATGAGTCGGTGTCCCGCAATAACTTTCGAAAAACTGTTTGGAATCGGCTGAAACTTTCTAAATCAACTAAAATTGATGAGATAGAGATGTTTTTTTGGGTCTCGTAAAGTCTGAAGCGGTTTTGATGAATTTTTTAGGCAACGCTTTTTCGAGCTCCATACTGAAGCCTTATAACTCAGATCTGATGTGCCGGTGTCCCGCAATAACTTTCGAAAAACTGTTTGGAATCGGCTGAAACTTTCTAAATCAACTAGAATTGATGAGATAGAGATGTTTTTTTGGGTCTCGTAAAGTCTGAAGCGGTTTTGATAAATTTTTGAGGCAACGCTTTTTCGAGTTCCATACTGAAGCATGAAGTCTGAAGCAGGTTTGATAAGTTTTTGTAAGCGTTGGAAAAGAACACCACTTTCGATAGGTTTTTTAATCGATCTTTCGAACCTTCTTTGAAAATATTTTTCCTATGATAAACGACATGAATAGCGAAACGTAAGTGTATATGCCTTACAACTCAGATCTGCCTTGCTGGATGATGGATCCGTTCAAACTTGTCTGAATCTGTTTTAAAATAATATTTGATTACTGTCTTGATTTTATCTTTAAAATGTTTTAGATGTTGTATGAAGAAAACAAGTTTTTGATTGGCTTTTTATATTCTATAAAATTTTTGTGACCAATTTTAGGGGTTTTTTGCCAAAAAGTGCTGAAAGAAAATATGCTAACTTAGGTTGTTTATTTCTAAAGCGTCTTGGGTTTTTACCTGAAATTTGGCTTTGTGAGGAAACATGTCAGGAGAAGGCAATGATAGTTACGCCAACCGGAACCAAAATAGTTACGCTTTTGAAAAGAAAACGGAATCGCAACTAGCGCAGAACTAAGGTTTTTGGTGTAAATGAATCCAGGCATGGAATTTTTGTTTCCTAGTTTAGGTGAGGTATATACAGTTTTTGTTCCCCTTTTTTGTGTGGAAATGTTTTATTGTTAATGCTTTTTGACGCCAACTTGACACCTACGTCAACTTGACACCTACACCTGGTTGTATAGAGCATTCACTAATTGCTTCTTCTTCTTTGTTAGTATTCAATGTCGGTTAATGCTCTTACTTTTTATTGAAATAAGGTGTGATTTTAGGATTGTTTGAGAATTTTATCTCACGAACTAGAAATTTAAATCAAACATGCATAGCGATAAAGCCTGTCACTATTTATTTAAATGATTACAGCACTTGAGATTATTTTATACCCATAAAGATCTTAAACTACATTTACAGGTTCTAAAAAAGGTTACATGACAGTCTTCTTTCAGAAGGAGGGTCAACCACCTAGGTGTGAATTCACCTTTTCATGACACTCTATAACAAGCTGTTTAATAGTTATTTGTTACGTCACCATGCAATTTCTATGCTATTGCAATATGCCATCTTCCTGCTCTTTTCTTTTCATCAATGGTTTCTTTAGATTAATTGACGTTTCTGCATTGAAAAGGTGTTTGTTGCATGTGATATTTAAAGATTTCGCTCGTTAACCAAGTTAGTCGTGTTCAAATTGCCATTGAGTCAGTTTTAAGGTTATACGCAGTTGTTTGTGACCATGTCAGTACGTGATACGCTAGAACTTGTTCTGCAAAGCGGAGCTGCTACAAGAACATGGGGAATTCGGGGTGAGGGTTTCAAAGGAACTGGCAAAAGGTCAAAGGCCAAATTCTGGAAGAATGGTGCTTCTGGGAAGCAAAATCGCTCTGTCAATCAGCTTACAGAGGATGCCGAAGACTTGGTAAGTTAATTTAAGACTGACCTTAGTTAACTCTGTTACTTTCACTTTTTGTGATATGATCTTCTCATGGGCTTGTGAAATTACTGTCTGATCAATTCGATATATTTTGTTTTTACCTGTCTTTATAAAGAGGGAATACTAATAGTTTTGGACAGAAGGTCTAATTTCTTTCCCAAGTTAACTTTTGCTAACCTTGTTTTAACAGGTCGCAGTGTTCTCTGACTCGCAGCTACGCCCACTTGTTCAGGGGGACGTTCCTGTTCCTACAAACTGGTACGTCAATTCAACGCCAGGTGGTTGCTTCAGCCATGTAAAAGAAGAAATTCTGGCCGCCAAAATTCCCGAAAGCAAGACCCCTTCGTGGGTCGTTCTTCTTGTTGGGACAAATGATCTCTCCAAGCACGTCGTTATGGATAGGGCCAGAGGTGACTTTCATGGGCTTCTTCTCGCAGTCAAGAAAAGATTCCCGCTTTCAAAGGTAACTGATAATTTTATCAATTACACCTCTATTAATTTATGAGACATTTAAATATTTGTGTTACCAGCTCTTCGATTCTTCCTTTTCATAAATATTAAGAAAGAAAGTTCGAAAAGTGCTTCGTTTTGTTGTTAACTTTTATGCTTTTCGGGATTCTTATATTCTCATATTTCATACCCGTTAGATTTACATAACAGTAAATCACATTACATTACATTACGTGCTATTTTGGTTAAAAAATTTGAACCCATAATGCCACACATGTCTGAAAAAATGTGACCAAAAATTCCTCAAACGTAATGAAAACTGTACCCATAATTCCGCACAGCAAATAACATTATCCCCCCTCCCCCCTGAGGTTTATATAACATTTTAGTTTATCTTTAAAAAGGTTGTTGCACTATCGATATTGCCGCGTCTAGACGAATTTTGGATTCGCGAGGCAAAATACAAAGAAGTGATGGACCAAGAGTGCCAGAAACTTGGGGTTCACTTCTTTGACGTGACACCGAACTTTGAAGTCAGCGATCCGCGTCTTTGGTCATGGAAAGACGGACTTCACATAAGTGAGGACAAAGGCATCCCACTGTTGTTGTGTCTTTTGCAGAAAGAAATGAATTCACTTCAAGCTGCTGTCCAGGATTCATCGCCTTCTCCTCCACCACAACCTGCTCCAGAGCCCCAATGCCCGGCGTGGCTATGGAGAGAACTCCGGCACCATCGCTCCGAAGGTTAGCCATTTCTATTGAAGAGTAATATTTTACTTCGAACAAAGGCTGCTTTTTAACGGAAACGACGTCTTTTTAACGGAAAGGTTGATCTGGAAAAAAAAGAGTCCCATCTGTTTTGTACCTCCGCGCGAGAATTGTTTACTTATATCCCCTATAGTTCCTTGAAAATATGTATCCATTAATCGTAAAATAAAAGGAAAATGATGAACAAACTTCGAGAGTGCAGTTATTAAGCTCATTATAAACATTAAATTTTAAGTTGAATTCTTTTAATTAAATCGTTATTTGTAAAAACAGATGTTTAGCCACAACTTTTTAGAATCTTTGATTGTGAAAGGATTTATTTTTTTCATGTTTTTCAACTATAACGCTGTTTCATATCTGATTAATTGATGGTAATAATGGCTTGGCGCAAAATTGACAACTCCAGTGAATTTCCTTCAAGGTCGCCAAGGTCGTTGCCTTCAAGCACCACCAACAGCAATCGGATCACCGCCAGCCGTGAAAAAAAGAAGGAACACTACCTCCAAAAGGTAATTAAAGTTCTTATTCACCAAAGCAGAATGCCAACGTTGGACGAGGATTAGCCTAATTTAACATTTTTTGCTAAATGGTTATTACCCACGCTATCCTGTCAACCTTGAAGTGAAGCAGAGTAAGATTTAAATATTTTCCAAGGATATAAGCATTTACATACAGCCACAAAGAATTGTAACAACCCTTATACCGCCAGATAGCCTAATTTATTCGCATGTTTTTTTATAGAAGAGTGGCCAAAAGGTACATAGAAGTACCCACGATGAAAAAGATAAATTGGAGTCAAGTGACAAGTCGCGGTATTGTCATGGACAATTTCCTATTGACAAACACGAATCCTGGTCTCTACCTGACTGCGCCTTCCCAGGTAAATGCTTGCGAAATAATACCTTCAATTCGGTCGTTATTCATATAACCACAAATAGCACCAAGTTACAGTTTAAGTTTACAATATATTTTAAAACTTACAACTCTTTATGCATTTTTATTTAGTACACAAAATGTGCGCAAAATTCAAAAATTTCAAAGAGGCGCCGGAAAGTGCAACAGCAACGTGCAAAAGGTGAGTGCAACCTTTTCAATTTTGTTTAACAACCAACAAAGTAATCAATTATTTTGAACAAAACAAAGCCAATTCCAAATATCATAGTTCCTGTATATATTTAAATATATAGATATATATCATAGTGATATCAATATTCGAGCGTATTAAAAGCGAAATTGATCTATTTCTAGCGGAAGTTCATCAGCATAAACGAAGGAAAATTATGCAAGACGCAACCGATCCAATCGATCTTCTTGTAAGTAGTTATAGCAAAATAAAAATTCCTTATTCCGAACCTACGAATATGTAATATATATCTAAGTTTTATATACGAATATCGAAGAGGTAATAGAAATTACGAATTTCCTTCCTAGATCTCAATTGAACAAAAGATGGCAAAAAAAGCAAGCCCCAACTCTGCTTTGAAAGGTATCAGTGCTTATTTTTACATCTAGGGACGCTTATTTGCACGAAATTCATTCTGATTTATCACCTTTATATCAGTATCTATCTTTATATACGTTTTTCGTTATGTCCCCAATCAGCTTGTAAGCTTAATATTTTTGACACACCAATAAGGATTTTGATTGATTTATTGATCGATTGATCAATTGATTGAATAATTTGTCAAAATATATTATATCGAATTTACAAAAGACAAGCAAAAACTACTGACTTGCTATTAACATCCTCCCGGTTACCATAAGAATTTTAAGTAACGCATATTTTTTCTTAAAATAGGCAAACTAGGCATCTCCACAGTTCCATTGAAACACTTTCAGCGTTCGTACGCAAAGGTTGTGCAAGGAGAAAGGATACCAAAGCCAAGAAAGGTTGCAAGTTCTATCTACATCCTTAAGCTTAAATTTTCTTTGTATTTCAAACTCATATTCATATAGCGTTTACAATAGCAAAACAATTAACTTATAGAAAAGCAACTTTAAAAATGTCTCATATTTTCCATTCCCTTAAACGTTCGATGCAGTTCTAATACCATCCTCCATTTCTGCCTTCTTCAGAGAGAATCGGAGCCAGTGCAGGTAACAATCAGCAACGCCTCAGATGAGAGTAGACAAGTTGAGGTTTGTAGTAATTTTTCGAATTCTTCAATTTCATGGCTAAGTCTAGCTGTTTCCATTGCTCAGTATCCTCTCAATATCCATTGTTTTACATTCCCTTAAACGTTCGATGCAGTTCTAATACCATCCTCCATTTCTGCCTTCTTCAGAGAGAATCGGAGCCAGTGCAGGTAACAATCAGCAACGCCTCAGATGAGAATAGACAAGTTGAGGTTTGTAGTAATTTTTCGAAATCTTCAATTTCATGGCTAAGTCTAGCTGTTTCCATTGCTCAGTATCCTCTCAATATCCATTGTTTTACATTCCCTTAAACGTTCGATGCAGTTCTAATACCATCCTCCATTTCTGCCTTCTTCAGAGAGAATCGGAGCCAGTGCAGGTAAAAATCAGCAACGCCTCAGATGAGAAGCATGACAGAAATGGTAATGGTATTGAAATTTATATTTTTCTATTATGAATCAAGCAATGTTAGTTTGAACAGATAAAAATTCTTTGTAACTGTAGTTTTTAGGAAATTCCGTATTTTCAATTTCTTTTTTCTTATTCAGGGTTGGTTAATGTTATTGTAAAAGTGGTCTGCGGTGGTGGGAGAGTCAAGAAAAACTCGAATCGTACGGACGTAAAGTTGTTGGCAGAAGCGGTATGTCAATCTTGTAAAGTAACTTCTGATGGTAAACCGTATGATTTTGACTGGGCAGCTATTTTTAAAAAGTATTACGGAAGGTCCCGGGCTAATCATCCCAACGCACTCAAAAAGTTTCGTTCCATGTATTACAGAAATAAGTCAACTATTGATAAGGTAATAAATGAAATTCTGTTTATCGAGAACAACTCCCCAGGGCCAAACAATAATGAAAGTTTTGTCTCTTTTGATGCCAAAACAATTTCTGAAAACAACGACAAGATTGAGACTTTTTATGATGACTCTGTCTGTGGGCAAGTTTCCGAACAGAATACTCTAGTTAACTTCGATAATAAGTGGGGGGAGAAAAAGGCAAGCGATGCAAATATATCTTTCACCAAGTCTGCAATCATATCTAGTACTCCGAGCAAGCGTGTTTCCGAAGCACCGTCATTTGGTTCTGAAAAATTTGAAGGCAGGAAACATTCTAAGAATACAAATGTAGCAAAACTAGAAAAGGAAAAGATTCCCCCTAAGAAAAGCAATAGTCTGATAATAGAAAAAGCAAAAAGTAAGTGCTTAAAAAGGCAAATGAAATCACGTAGTCATGAAAAAGCAGTAGGGATTATCTTAGGAGAGGCTGTGTCAGTCTATGCAAAGCGTATTTTAGAAAGGTCGTATGAAGATACAGAAAATTCGTGTGTAGAAACTGATAGTGGAGATGCTTCTTCCCTATCGCAAGACAATTTTCACGTCGACAGTGACACTTCCATTGAAGAAGATCCCCATATTAATCAACTATACTCCCAAGATCTCATAAAAGCTTTGTCCAGATCAAAGTATGGCTTAAAAAATATCAGGGCCCATATTAAAAGAAAAAGCATAAGATTATCTCTACCAAAAAATTGGCAAAAAAGAATGTTTGTTTATAGCATAAACAACAGTCAGAAAGGCAAAAAAACTCATCTTTCATCCGAGGGAAAAACGCTTATAAGGCAAATGGTAGCTAAGACCAATAAACTTTGCGTTTTGAAGTTTGGCTACACACATATTCAAAAAACATGCTCAAGAAAAACAAATTCCAATATTCTAACTGGCAAGGCTGAATGTACAATACCTGAATGTCAGTTTAAAGTAACTTTCTCCATACCAAATTTTTTGTCAAAATGCATGTATTTTCACTTTGATGGTAACGTTTATCATCGAAAGGATTCTTTAGCAGCAAGGAAAATTTCTGACGAGGAAAAATATAAGCTAACATCTTTGTTTGTTGAAGACAGATCAATTTTGCCATCTGAAAAACATCGAACAGACCTAGAATTAATGGATCCTGATTCTTTTGCTGCAGGTAACATGACTAAGGCTGGCAAAAGTCACATTGCTTATCAGCAGCTAGCTGCTAAAGCCCGAAAAGAGGCAGATTCAATCGAAAACATTTACAAAAACATTGTTCAACTCCAAAGAAAAATCAAATCTTTAGACGAGCAGCAAGCTTCAGAGCAATGTGCTACGTTTAGAAACCATTTCGGTTATATTCAGCGCCCCATTATTACCGATGAGGAAATTAGCATTGTGCTAATTGATCAGCCAATGGTCATGCTATACCATGAGCACGTTAAACAATACGCTTTGCATATAGACGCAACTGGCTCGTTGATAAGAAACCTACGGGGATTTAAAAAAATTCTGTATTATACTGCTACTGTTCAGCACCCATTTGCAAAAAGCCCTCCATTGCCCGTGGCCGAATATATCACAACTAACCAAGACCAACATTCTGTCAAAAGATTCTTGGGTGCATTAGTGGAAATGGAGACTCTGAAATATGGAAAGGGCAACATTTCTAAACCAAAACTAATACTATTAGATTTTAGTATGGCTATTATAAATGCTACCCTTAGCGAATTTTGTGGGGAACCACTTCATGATTATATAAACAGAACCTACCGTGTAGTGAATGGCAGTGCTTCGCTTACAGATTTGAATAAGACATTTCTACATATCTGTGCATTTCACATAATGCGCATCAATCGGAAACATGCTATGAAGGATTGCGGACCTGGTGAAGATGGAAAAAGTCGTGTCCACTTTGCAATGCGCCTATTTGGAAGATTAGTCAATTGTTCTTCATTAAATGATGCTGCAAATATTGTCAAAAATGCAACTGTTGTATTGTCATCTAGATATGTTGATAAAAACGTTACAAATGCATTGGCAACGGTCGAAGAATCAATTAACACTTTTTGCGAAGTATTAGATGACAAGGAAAACCAATACAACGAGTCGGACGCGTTGCATTCTGATGATGTTTCAGAATCTTTCGAATACAGTAATTTTGATACTCAAAAACACGAAACAGAATTGCACAGGTTTTGGGGACATGTGCTAGAATCTGTAAAGCTTGAAGACAAGAATGACAGTACTGATGCCAACAGGTACTATATGCCCAATTACTGTAAGTGGTTACACGAAAAGTTACCTTATATAACTCTATGGAGTAATTTATGCTTAGGGGATCTGCAACGGTTTAATCAAGAGTACGATGACTGCAAATTACCTGAGACTAAAACCAACTCAGTAGCAGAACAGTTTTTCTGCCTGAAGAAAAGGAATAGGAACAATCTTAAACAATCGATTGTTGATTTCATAAGCAAGTCCTGGCACGACAACCGAGGCTTGCAAAGACAATTTATTTTGGGCCTGCGGAGTCATATTTGCGACGCTAAAACGGTTTCAAAAGAGACAAAACAATCATATAACAGAGTTAAGAAGTTAATAAGTTATCACGATGAATCAAGTGGAAGTGATGATGAACTAGAATTAGATACTAAGGAACCTTATAGCGTTCTAGAAACTTGGGACAAAGGTAAGAAAAATACCAGGGAAAAGAAAATAGACAGGAAGGGTACTTTCCAAGAGCCACCAAGGAAAAAACTAAAATTTACTGCTTCAAATAATGAAAAAGAATTGCGTAGGAAAGTTTCTAAAAATTGCTCTGAAATTTCTAAACAATATGACAGGGAGAATGTCCTTAAAGTGTCACCATCATGTAATAATTTGAGCAAAAAAGGGTATCCTATTTATAAAAGGATGGTCTATAAATCTATGCCTGGACCGGAGAAGAAGAACGTGTCGCTTGTTCGTAACAAAATTGTTAAGGGCTGGGAAAACCTTTCTTTAGAAAAAAAGGATAAGTACATTAATGATGCTCTTAGTAGAAAGGAAAACTGCGCAATATGTGAGCAAGATGAAATTGATAGCAGTAGCGATGAGGTAAACTGGGTAAGTTGCGATGACTGTGAAAGGTGGTATCACGCAAAATGCGTCCATATTGATAGTTTTTATGCGGAGTCTGTACCTATTTATATATGCCCACGATGCAAGCAAACCTACTTTGACGGTCTACCCAAGCTTATTGCTCATTTTCGCTTTAAACCGGTCCATGAATTGTTGGAACTAGATGACGTATTTTCACTTTGGGCGACACTATCTTCCGAAGACAGAAGGTATATTCGAAAACATATTTTTCCTATGGAAACAAAACATATACCCCAAATAGGTAGTCTGCAAATCTTAAGTGAACGTGGTATAAAGAATAAATTCAATAATTGCTGGAGCAACTCTGCATTTCATTTGCTTTGCGGATCTATGCTGTCTAGGTTGTTGCCTACATACCAATCTACCCAAACAATTGTCTGCAGTTCAATTATAAAAATTCGGGAGAAACTGCAAAACCAAAAGTTTGCTTCTACCCCAATGAAATTTACCACGGATATGAGAGCTATCGTTTCATACTTTCGTAACCGAGACCAGAGTGAAAACTGTCGTCAGGATGATGGCGCAAGCTTTGTAGAAGAAATCCTTTTGCACTTAATCGATCACAGTGTAGAAGATATGGAAAGGAATTTTCAAACAAAAATTTTAAGTTTTTCCAACTGTAGTACTTGCGGCAAAACTGGATCCTCTGCGAGAGGACACGTAGTACTACCACTCAATCTATTTGAAAATTCTATACCTAACGTATCTGTTCAGTCGCTTCTTTGGGAGAGCACAGTAACAGAAGACAGATTTCATGACTTTGATTGTGACTGCCCACCCGAAGATAAAAATTTCACTCATAGAATGTTTTATTTGCAACTGCCAGTGGCACTTTTAATCATTGTGGAACGAGGCAGTGACAGAGATCATGTTTTGGAATCGGTGAAACTTTCTAAATCAACTAGAATTGATGAGATAGAGATGTTTTTTTGGGTCTCGTAAAGTCTGAAGCGGTTTTGATGAAATTTTTGAGGCAACGCTTTTTCGAGCTCCATACTGAAGCCTTATAATCAGATCATGAGGTCGGTGTCCCGCAATAACTTTCGAAAAAACTGTTTGGAATCGGCTGAACTTTCTAAATCAACTAGAATTGATGAGATAGAGATGTTTTTTGGGTCTCGTAAAGTCTGAAGGTTATTTTATGATAAACGACATGAATAGCGAAACGTAAGTGTATGCAACGTCTTCAGCTTTGAAATAAAAGAAGTTAACAAAACGATATTTTACAATTTTACTTTTCTTTTTCCCGTTAATATACATACACATTTAATTAATCGACAAATTATCACGTATAAATTATAAAATATATTTGCATACTCTGATAAACAAACTACATCAATCAATAGATATATAAAGTTATGACAATAAGCAAAAATATTCATAATTAATAAAAATGAAATAATAGGAAGCTATTCATTATTAATTTCAAACACGATAATAACATTATATACAAATAGGGACAGGATGACATGGATAGTATGACAATCATATTGTACATGCGACCATCGTAATCTTGGACAGCTATCAAAGTTCTTAAAGAGAGGAAGGTCCCGGTGGATTTTACTGGCGATTTAGAGCACAAAGAAAACTGTATTGCAGGCCTGTCAATGGAGTAAAGCTTTCCTGTCGCTTGTTCGTAAGAAAGGCTATACTTATTCATTATAAATTCTGTCAGGTGCTCTGGTAGCAAGAAGTGCTCTACTATATCAGCGCGCGTGTGACCAAATCTCCTTTTTATATCGTACTTCAATTCACATTTGAGGCCAATCACACAGTCATCATCTTTTGCAACCGTTTCTACGGATAGGGAACTATAGTCCGAGATAATGCGCCTCGTTGAATTTCCAAATGTAGTGCGGAGTTTATCATACAATTCCTTCTCAGCTAGGTTTTTATACACCCTTCTATCAAGTGTTATGAGGGCTTTCATTCGCTCTGACAATTTTTTTCCCCTAGTTATAACCTTGGATTTGGTTGCGTCTGTAAATTTTTCCAAAAATGATTGCATGTCAGATTTAGCGTATTAATGAAGTCGTTCCGAAAGTTTTGGTTCTTAGGTGCTTGATTTGATGAAAATATATAGCTGCGTCAGCGTATCAGTATCCGTGTCACTTTCACTCGACCTAGGTTCTGGCGAGGCTGTTGCGGGATCCTTGTTTCTTTTTTATTCCAATTTTTTTTAGCGCTAATTCTAGAGTTTTAGAGTCAACACTACTTTCAGAATTATTCTGAAGCGCATTCAAAATTAGTAAATTCCCCGTCAGTTTTGGATGAATCAAGAAACTGATTTCAAGGTAGCGAAAGGTTTATGTGTTGATTTCCTGTCTACTGAAACTCAAAGTTTGAAATTGTTTGGTCACCGGTTTTGGTTGTTGCCCAAAGACTAGAGGCTTTTCTACTCTTTTTCGGTATGTAATCAGCACCATCGATACAAGCATTTCCTATCCACATTCTTATGGGTATAAGATCATTCTCAGCGATCGTAACATCTGTTAATGTGACTAGACAGTAAGCGTTTATGCAAGTAATACACGCAGCTGTGTGCATCGTCTTGCTGCTGTAGGTCATGTTTGTCTAATGATAAATACATCCATTCAGAAATTTCAGCTTCTCGTTTTGAAGCACAAAGTATTTTAGAAACAACAGTGTTAATAGCAGACCAGGCATCTTGTGTCACCTTTTTTACTGGCAGCAGAGTCACAGTGTACCACCATCTTTTTTTGTGGGTACAATGCAATTATGCTCCAGTGACTTGGAGAGTCTTTTTTAGCCTGATGAAATGGGAAAAAGACGATGTCTGCCTTTAAGATTTGCTCATAATCTTCAATACACCTTGATAGGATATGTCCGGAAGATCGCTTTTGTAAAACAGCTGACAACGCCTGAGATGGCATCACTTCAATATGGAATTTTTCATGAAACTGGAACAAAAGATGCTGCAAAAAGGCCGCTATAACATCACTGTGCAAATGTTCATTTCCAATAATCGTTCTGAATGATTGTGTGGGCAGATTTCTTCGTTAGGGCTGCGTTCAAGCCCAAAGAGGATTTTTTCAACATTGATAAAGTTATGGGGCATCATTTCACATTCCAAGGAAAATTATTACTTCGCCTTTCAATTTCCAAAGCTACTGAATTGAATATATGAAGCATTCGACAATTTTCTTTGCATTCCTTACCATTAATATATTTTCTTGAGAAACTGGAAATTGGTTATCATCGTCAAATTTTAGACCTTCACCGAGATCATTAAATATTACGCAGTTGTAATGACCAAACCTGGTTGTGTTACCATGATGGACGAGAACAGAAGCAAGACGATAACACAGGTTTCTATGGTACTGACCAGGCACATGTTGTATAGAGAGAGTGTTTCATTAACGGTTACGGGGCAATGCGAAACTGTGCCTGTCA